TGACAGAGTCATCAGCAGGCATGGAGTGGGTTTGGGTTCCCATGTCCTCTAGGAGATTAGCTCTAAAGAGCTACAGGGGCTATACCTAGGGTTCTATATATTTCTAGGTATGGAAGTAAAAGGAAGCAAAGTCTGTGGCTGACTATACAGCTTGCTTAGGGCAGGCACCTTATGTCTCTTGTCTGGTCAGTCCTGCACAATCTATGACCAACATCTCACATTCTGGGATCTGTCCTTCTTGGAGTTGGGTGATTGTAGTATTGGATGTCATTTGGGGTGTTGTGCCATGCAGTTCCTTTCACACTTCATGCACAATTTGAATGAATTACTCAGCATCAACTGCATATCACCTGCAAACAGATGGCCAAATGGAACACATAAACTAGGAGGTTGAATAGTACCTGTGTTTGTTTGCAAATCATCAACAGGACAATTGGGCAGACTGGCTCACACAAGCCAAATTTGTGTACAACAGTTGCATACAGGCATCTATGTGATTCTCCCTGTTCATGGCTGATATGGGTTGCAACCTGCAAATGGGCATGGAACTGAATTGCACATCACACATTGTTGGTGTGGAGGAATTTGTCAAGACCATGAGCAATTTGGAGCACAAGTGCAAAGCTGCACTGGAGCAGGCTGCAGAAGACATGGCACAATTCTATGATCACAAACGCATAGCTATGCCTGCATATAAGATGGGTGATTTCATATGGCTAGATGCATGCAACATCAAGAGAAAACACCCCATGAAGAAACTTGATGACAAAGGGTTTGGCCCCTTCAAAATCGCAGAAATCATCAATGTGAATGTGTATCACCTCAAATTGCCAGACATGTGGTGCATCCACCTTGTCTTCCACACAGTAAAGTTGCAACTGCACCATGTGAGCAACATCCCTGGACATGTGTGACTTGACCCACCCATGCCTGAGCTTTACAGTGAAGGCAAAGAAGAACATGAAGTCAAAGGCATACTGAACAGCCACCTTGTGAATAGTGCACTTCAGTACTTAGTCAGCTGGAAAGGGTACTTGCCAGTGCACAACTCATGGGAGCTGGTTGCAAATCTGGCAAATGCAATGTGATTGGTCTGTGATTTCCACAGGCACAACCCTGAAGTGCCTAGGAAGATAAGTGCACACTCCTTCAGGTGATTGCAATTTTGCCCATTTGAAAATGCAACCGAAAGCATGGGATGCATCTAAAGAACCCATTGGAACCCCTGTCTATATTTGGGCATTTGCATGAAGCATACAAATTGTAAGTATGAAGTGTATGAGTAGTGCAAGCCATGCTTTAGGTGCTATATAGGAACAGCCACATGGCTTGCTTCCTTTTTGCTCCCTTTTTTAGATTAGTATATATACTCTAGCTAGACCTTAGTGTAGCCCTCAGATCTGATCTCTGAGGACCCCCCATAGTCTTAGGCATCAAATCAAAAATTGCTTCACATCATTTGCACTAGCTTATCTTGTGAATTGTCTCTTGTGTCTTGCATCTGGTCTTACAACTATGCACTTCACCCTTGGACACTCATGACTGGGTTTGAGTATTTACTCTCTCACACCTCAATTCCCTATTCACATAATGTGCTCAAGGTCTCACCTATTCAGATTTGCAGTTGCAGCTTCACTTAAACTGTGTTGCCCTCACAGACTCCTTGTAAAGCTGATTGGCCTTCAATACAAAGGAAGTACTGGTAGCATCAGTGTGAGTGTCAGGGCACCAGCTCATTGCTTGGTCAAGAGACATGACTAAGCCTTTATGACATGGAAGTAGCTGGTATACCTTGGCATGTGCTGGAACCTGCTGGAAGGATTGGATGGTCAGGTGACCTGCTGTGCATGGCTGTGCATGACCTCATATGACCTCATCCTTGGTCATATGACCTGATCACCTGACTAGGCTGAGTAAGCAAGATGTTCTAGCAGGTTCCACCACAGAGGTATAAATATAAGGCCTACTCTGCCTGGGGACTGTCTCTTCAGACTTGGTCTCTTAGGATCATCCACAGGTACCTATACTGTAGATAGGTCTTAGTCATCAGGTCTACTCCACTTCCTTGTTGCCTGCTTAGACTCTTGGCACTCTTAGGTGAGCAGACTTAGTCAGCCTGTGTTGCCCTAACAGAAGACCAAGTCTCCAAGTGACAACCTCTGCTTCACCACTCCACCTCTACTCTTACCTGCCTTTACTCTTACCACACACACCCAACACCTGCCTTATTCCATATCCACCATTATGGAACAAGCAGAAGAATTCCCTGATCCCATTTCTATTCTTCAAGCACAGGTCCTAGAGCTGACTCAGCAGCTCCAACAGCTTATGACAGCTTCCTGGAGTAATCAGCCTACAGCCCCTGTGTCTAATCTCCAACCCAATAGTAACTATGACACCACTACCTATGGTGACAATAGTCATGGAAACCAGAGTCATGACAGCCATTACCATGGGGGACCAACATCATAGCAAACACTGTTACTATTG